TATTTAAGTATATTATTATGTATTGAGCAGCTATTAATGTTTGTTCTAAACGCATAAAATATGCAGTCAAGATACGCTTTACATTAAAATTGATTTCTGTCATTTGAAAATTGATGTTAAATCATATTTCTACACGGAACTATTTTCTTCTCTAAAAAATGATCGAACTGTCATGTTCTAACTAATAATTGTCGTCTGAGTTTTGTTACAGTACAAAAGTTACGGAAGTTCAGCTAAGATTTCCATTTTATTTATAATGTTCCAGAACTTTCAACGCAGTGCGCAAACTTCCGAGTATCGTCATTTTCAACAAAGTAGAACGTAAGAGCTTATAGTACTGCGTGAACTGCATGAACCACTGGAACCACCTAAATTACCCTATTCCAGTTACTCATGGTATAAAAATGTTTCCGTCAGAAATGTTCTGACAAACTCTTTTTCTCAAGCACACGTCATATTTCAACAGGAAAATAAAAATTATCTGCGCTGAATGCAAAATGTACATAAACAAAAATCTACGTAAACATTGATTTCTTTTCTTAATCATTTTAAGGAATGTCTTCAAGTTATTCACAAATTTTTGTTATAAATCCATAAAGTTCGCAATACGATTATAATGTAAATCATGCGGAATTTTCAATCGTACGGATTTCTTGTCGTGCTGCGATTAGTTTAACTGGTAATAATTTTCTAGGAGCAACCTGTTAAGTATGAATATTATAATAAATTTTCTCCGATTGTCTCTCAGCTTGTAAACAAAAATGGACAATTTGGGAACAGGAGATACGATTATTCAAGCCTTGAAGCCTGTTTTTATAGTTACCGATTGTTAACAACCATAAAAACGAGACGCAAGGCTCGAATAATTACACCTCCTCTTCCAAAATTGTCCATTTTTGTGCGCAATTTGAGCGCGAATTAGGGAGAAATTATTGTATTCCGTTCTCTTAAAAGTTTTGTCATCGATATTTAACCCTTAGCGGACGACGACTTTTTGGGCAGAGTCAGGTAGCAGGACCAGGCGATTTTTGCAAATATGTCGATTGTCTTATATGGTATAATAAAATTATCTTACATATAAATTATCTTACAAAAACGTTATATTTCGTTAGTTTATCTATATTCACACTTTTATGAACATAATTTTACAAAAATTATGATTTGTAGTTTCGTTCGGTGTGATAGTTTATAAAACATTGACCAAGATGCATTCTTGGTTTATCTGGACATGCATCACAGAAATAGGTCGTCTCATGTCTTCCCCCTGGTTTGTTTCGACTGGAACAAACTTTGCACTCTTTCTTTGTGTCAGTAACAATTACATACAGTTTCTCGTTTAGACGAATTTCGTCAGAGTTGGCCGTCGAACTTGAAGATCTATCTCGTGGTTGACGAAAATCTCCTCTCAATTTGTTGATCAAAATTTTGCGAAAGTTCAAATATGTAACCGGCTGTTCGTTTCTCTGCCTTTTTACATGTTCGTAGAGAATGTACGAATTGATTAAACAAATTTCCAGTCTCCGGAAAAATAATTTGCGCCACCACTTCAGGGACTTTCTCATAAAACAGTACGTTGGATAATGTTCGAGATAACGAAATTTAACATAAACACCGACTGTCGCCTCTCGCTCGCCATTCGTCCTGCCGCGCGAAATGCCGTAGCGACCGAGAGTCGCCTCTCGTCCGCTAAGGGTTAAAAGCATTCACGAAACTGTAGGAACACTATAAATATAAATTTTCTAGTTTGGAAATTACTACAATCGGAAAGCTTCTAATGATCATAACTGTGCAGAAAATGGTGCTGCAAAGGGTTAAGAAAGATTATGTACGATTAACGATGCATCATCGATTATACAATAACGTGATAAGACACTTCAACCAACAGCAGGAAAGTTTTAATCCGGATGGTATAATAATCACAAGCGTTGTTTCATTCGTCTCCAATGGCATTGATTTTGTGGAGAACTTCTCCTTCAAGGCATTAAACCTTAGGTCAACATCTCCCCAGATTTCGAGCTTCATTTTATCTAAACAGCGTTCATCCGGGTCATAACCTTCCCTTGTAGGAAGTACTCCCATCCCTTTCGCCCCTTAATCGGGCATAACGTATACGCGTAACAAGATTGAAGGCCGCCCAATTTATCGTTCCCGCCCTCCGTTTTTACCCCTAACAGAGTAGAACTGATCGATAAATACAATTCCTATGAGTTACTGCAACTGGAACTATCGATTCGCGCAACTATGAGCACGGGTTCCGCAGATTCCTGCGAGCTTTTTCCTGCGGAATACGTTTTCGAAAAATTTCAAGCGAAAGGGACGAATTATTCGGAAATATTCTGTTGTCCACAGCATTATCATAGACCGTTGTTAATTGTTCGCGTTTCGTTTTACCAATAACGATCGTAGACTGTCGGAAAACTGATGAAAATGGCCGAAAAATTAGAACAAGTTATTTTCATGTATCGCGAAAGTGTACGATAATTATAGAAGACTGTGTTTGATATTTTAAGTAATTTACTGTTAGCAATTGTACCAAGTTGCGGTAACAATAGTAATTTATTGCAAAATTATCATCGTTGAAAAATGTGATTTTTATACAAGTTCGGATGAGTTTTGTCAAAGAATAATACCCGTGAAAAATGCAAATAATTGGAGAGATTGCAATTGAGATTGAAATTGATGACAAAATTGAGCGAAAGAAATTGATCGAATATTTTTTACATAATTATACATAAAATATAATCTTTATTAGATAAATGCCCAAATATTCTGTAAATATCAAGATATACTTAGGCAATTTTTTAGTCTTACGATGCGAACAAGACCCTAAATATTACTCTGAAAATGATTTACAAATTCTCGTAAAACTGCATTCTACGTAGACGCGATTTCTAAAATAGATGATACAGTAATTGATGCAGTGAACAGAAATTCGATTGTTAACATTGAAAACGGACAAAATATATTTAATACTCCTTGCAAAGAATATTGAAGAGATTTAGTAGAATAATCCATGCTACAGCCAGACAAAATCGAGAACCTTGTTCTACATGGAGGAATAAGCTGTCTGGACTGATACTCCGGTTATCGACTTACGAAATTTATATACATATTTTTTTTATTAGATCCGTCTGTCAGTCGTTCACCTAACCGAGCATGCAGCTGTCATGTGGGAAGTATGGATCGCAGTGGTTCACTATTACGGTTGAGCACTGCCGTGACATAACACTGGTACTATTATCTTGTAACACGAACCGGAACGATCTACTCAACACGATACAAAAGAGGGTTGGGCATATTTTCTATCGAATAAGATAACGACTGATTATTTTAAATAATAAATAGCTTCGAATTGATTCGTTTTCAAATTCACCGACATACTACATATTTAGAACACGATACAGTAATGTCTCTCTAATTGACGCTCAGTTTGTCCACAAAAGTGGACACTTTAGGGAGAGGAGATACGATTATTCGAGCCTTGCGGTTCGTTTTTATAGTTACGAATTGTCAACAACTACAGAAACTAGAGCTACAAGGCTCGAATAATCGTATCTCCTCTTCCTGAACTGTCTATTTTCGTGGACAATCTTAGCGTCAGTTAGGGAGACATTACTATTGGATTATTTTCTCTCTTTTGAATACTCAGAAGTTTTTCCTTCTAGCATATAAGTTACAAAAACGAATCGACGCCGAGAGTCTCGCCAGAGTACCATTAGATAAACAATGATTTCATATGTATATAGAACAGTGTGCTCTTTGTCTTTAGGTGACGTTTTTGGTTTCGTCTTTGTGAATAGTCTTCAGTCTCCTGGAGCAATCAGGAGAGTAAAGACGGTCCTTCCTCGTACATCAAATTAATAAACTAAAAGGGATAAGTTTAATTCACTGCGTTTTACTTTTATTTATCTACCCATTTCCAATAATTACTGTACAATGCACGGTACATTCAGGTACAGTTACTTCCATTTAGTTTTTCTTAATTCAGTTTCTTTTTTTCGTCCCATTTAGTTTCTTTCAAAAACATATAGGGATGCCAATGTCAAATGTAACATCGTCGATTTCGTTTATCCTATCATCATACTACAACAATAAAAATTCCTCTCCACTTCCGCGACCAAGAAATAGCGCTAAACAAGCTATAAACACCGAAACTTAAAACACCTCAACAAAAACAATCACATTATTCGCGTACGTGCGCAACATGCATCGCCAACGATCATCGTCGCAAAACTACCATTCGCCTTCGATCTGCAATTCCGTTTGAGCGGTTAAGGGCAGCGCGGGTGTCGCGCGCGACACTTTTTCCAGCATCCGAGGAAAGACAGTCCCCGGCCTGTTCCGCGCGCCTTAATTGATCCCCGTACAGAGTTAATTGATTTAGAAGTGGGGCTCGACGCGAAAGGGTTGGTTACGGGATCAAGAGCGAGCGGGGTAGGATGTGCACGGATATCGGCAGGGGTAAGGCCGTGTGGCGAGAGCCATAATAGTCCCGTTCCCGGTTCCGTTTCGGCGGACGGGTCCATGAGACCAGGTTCGCGAGAGAGCTACAAGAGAGGAGAGGAGAGGAGAGGCGAGCCCCGTAGGCTCGTCTAGCGGAGCTAGAGAGAGAGCGAGAGGTGCGGAGGGGGAGTGGAAGAGGGATAGGAAGCGCGATAGGAAGATAGAGAAGGACTGATAGAGGAACGAAGAAGGACTGATAGAGGAACGAAGAAGGACTGATAGAGGAAGAGAGACGGAATGGACGAGAAATGGAGAGATAGAGGAAGCGCGATAAAGGGAGAGGGAGGAAGCGAGCTGCGGCGGGAAGGAGGGGTGCGGAGGGAAAGGGAGATACGGCGCGAAAGAAAGATGGAGGAAGAGAGATAGCGATAATACGCGAGGGAGAGAGAAGGAGAGCGGGGGATAGAATGAGAGAGGTGGCAGAACGCGCCGCGCAGCCTGTGTGTCCATGGTGGATTTCCTCGAGTGGAGGCAAAGTTTGATTTTGTGGAGGGCGCACGCCCCGCTCCCAGCTGCATAACCGACTGGTCTTTAAGCAGTCACGAACGAGCCTTCGTTCGTCGCAGCCGTGAGGAGGAATTTTTCTCGCGGTGGCTCTCTCTCCCCGACAGCCTTTCCTCCTCCTAGCATTGGACTCGTTGAATCCCGCGTGTGCAACCCCTGGACAGTGCCAGTGACCAATCGTCGCACCTGTCGATTTGCCAGCCTGGAGGGATTTCCGGGATCGAAGGGCCGGGGACGATCGCTCGTAAGTACACGTCGAATACGGACACGCAGACACGGACGGATTTCGCTCGTTTCGTCGTTCTATCGCGGTGGATACGGAGGAGGTCCCCGACGAACAATCGTCGAGGACTCGCGTCGGCAAGGTTACGTGGACTCGTTCGCCTAGACGGTGTGCTGCTGTTCGTTCGGTGGGCTGCTCGGCGGCCTGGGCCGAGCGTAGGCGTGCAGCTTATTGAATCCGCTGACAATTAGCCGAATAGAGATTGCGATACTCCCGGCAGGCCCGTGAATTAGGATGCAGCGCGCGCGGGTCCGACCGATGAATATGCAAATTGCTGTTCAGAGATTTCCTGGTGAATCGATAGAGCCAGGAGCGTGCAAGACGCTCGGAAATTTTCAGATCGAACGGGCTGCTTCGACAGGTCCCGCCAGCCCCCCTCGCCAGTCCCCCCCGGAAAATGCGTGTCGCCTTCTTGGGGCGGCGGAACGGTGGCGCAGGGGGTTTGTAAACAGCCACCGATCCTCCGCGGTGTTAATCGTGTTGCTAGGCGCGCGGTTTGGTCCTTCGTGCAACACGTTTCACCGATACCGAGGTGACCTGTCATCGTCGAACAGAGTCCGCGTACTTAGGTGCGCGCCTCTCCCGCGAGATCATTATTTCCCGATTCTGCGTAATATATCTCGAATAACATCGGCCGCCGCGTACGCGTACACCTGATGCGTTTCCGAAGGGCGGAAATGCCTTGACGCGATTACGTCGGTAATTGGGACGCTTGTCTTCGATGGCGCACCGATTGTTTAATCGCGATCGAACGACGTTCCCACGGACACTCTGCATAGCTTGTTTACCAGGCTCTCGTTCGACTGGTGGGATTTAATGTTTACCGTGCGGCGGTATTTTTGACGAAGAAAGACAAAGTGACACGGGAGAGAACCACCGAGAGCTCTATATGCGAATCATTTATAGAGGCGTGATCAGCGCTGGATTTACGGAGCACGAGAAACAGCTGTTCCATATTAGCTTATGAAAGTAACGACAATTTTATTCTGATAAATTATTCTGATATTCTTCGTTTATTCTGATTTTTAACGAGTTGTAACATTTGCCGTGAGTAACACGTGAATTGAATAGATAACTCATTAATGTATCTTTAGGGTATGAACAATCGTAAAATAAAAGATTAGCGACCCGTCATTTCGACGGGTTCCGTAAATCCAGTGTTTCAGAGACGATGTAAATTTTGCATTGTCACCGATATCTAGACTGCGGATTTTTATGCGAGAGATACAAATTGTCTGCATCAATTGCAAGGAATTGAAAAAAACCGTATAACTTCACATTCTTCCTTTAATCATTTTAATAAATCAACAGTAATGTGTATTAATGTTCTAACATTCTTTCGAATGTTTTAAATTGCAACTCGATTTTACCCTAAACGCATAAAATACACGGTCTACCGATATCTAAACGAAAACATAACGGAACATCGTATCTGTATATTTCTATTTTCTATTATTTCTAATATAGAAATATACGAATCTGAGATTTTGTTATATATTTATTCAAACGTCACTGAAATTGCAAAAGTTATTTAGAGTCTATAATTATTCGCAACCACTGTACGAGCACTAGAAATAGTATATTGCTTTACGACTAGACAGCGAATTTGATACATTTTTGCATCGCCATTTTGATCGCGGAGAAAAAGAACAACAGCATAAACTGCTTTTACCACGTTGTGAAAAATGAAATCGAAAATAAATGAAAAAACTGAAATTATATAGAAAACGGGATAAATCAGTGTGCGAGTTTAAAGTTTCACTAAACTACATGCGTAAACATTTCAAGCGTTATAAACAAAAAAATGATTGATTCAGTGCTCGTGAAATCGTTTTTCTCGAACATCCTCTAAATTGTTGATCATATCGATGTCGTATGTCAGACGAAACTTGGTCGATTTAAACGGGCCGTGTCTTCGATATGCGATATTACTTTTTCCAATTTACAATTCCGAGAAGGAACGACTTCCTTTTCGAAGTCAAACCGAGAACGTATCCTCGAAGTATCGTCGAAGTTCGGGCGGATTTGAAACGCTCGTGAAACGATTAGTGGATGTAAATTTAAATTGGTAATTATAGCCAGCGAAGCGAGGAGGTATGCTAATAAATAATTCCGAAAGAGTCCGCGGGCATTGAATATGCGTGCTTTTAACGTGCAAGTCATGGCACTGTATGCATGTAACGGAAAAGCAATGGATATCCATTAGGACAGTGACACGGTTGTACGGACGATGCAGAAAATATTCCTAGATCGCCGAATAGCATTAAATGGGACGAGGATAATTACTGGCGATGGGGGTTCAACGGTCGATTTATAAATCGCAGAATTTGATGGAACAGATCTTGGATTGGTTCGTCGATCAGTGTTGGTATCGGTTCGCGTCATTAGCGCCGGGTAATTTGGAATCGCCGCCGTTATTGGGATTATAGCCTTCTTCGGGCAGACGAAGTTATTTTCGCCGCCCACGGTAACAATGCGAAGGCACGTTGTAACTTTAACGAAGCGGTATCGGACAATACGGGTGAAACAACAATGTGATCGATAGCACGTAATTGCACGGGAGTAATATTAATTTATTCAATTTCGCAGCGAACAAGTGTCGTGCTTCGAATATGTGGCAAATCGAATGCGACAGGATTGTAAATACTTTTGTATTTAAGTCGTTGCAATGCTGGAATCGCGATGATATTACCAATGTTACCAATATTGTTAGTTGTAATGTTATTAATATTACTAATCTCAGCAATGATTAAATAGAAGTTATTGAACGCAGTTATGTTTTGCACCGATTTTCGTTTCCAATAAATATTATAATTAATATCGCAATTAAAAGAATGAAAACAGAATTTCATATAACATGAAAATTGAATCAAATTGTGAAGCATAGTTTAAACATTCTTCTGTTCTGCTACTAATAAGCATCCGAACGAGTTCTAGTACAAAAAAACTTACATTGTTTTAAATACTTTTATTCTTCGAATACTTCGAGCTGTAATTTATCCGCTTGTTTCATTCACTCCAGAAACTAAATGAAAATAATCGTTCGACGAAAATAGATTCATCATGGTCTAGAGAAGTTTTCGTGACCGATTACTATTTTTTGAAATAATAAATAATATTATGTGACCGAGATCGCGTTATTTTGACAACGCGAACGAATGCGTCGCGTTTTAGTCGGCCATCGTTGAACATTTCTGTTACAAATATTTGTAAACATACCTTGTTTATATTACTTCAACGATGTACCGAAGTGACAGTGAGGGCTAATGAGTGTTGACGCAGCAACGAATGTTTGCAGAGAGGTCAATGATTGGAAAACCAACTTTACTTGATTACG